CCCAGAGTTCTGCAGGGGAGAAAGGAAGTGAACTCTGGGGCAAAAGGTTGCGGGCCTCAGTCTGGTGTGAGGAGACAGGGAGTCCAGACTGCTGTTGCTGGTGTTGTGCAGACAAGCTTGTCGAGAGACTGTGCTCACTTGTCACAAGTCCTGAAGTGACATCTGCTACACAGAGTAAATCGCTGTTTGTTCCTATCTGGAAGAGGATCCTCTGGGGCTGTGAGTGAGGTGCCATCCTGCTGAGAGGACATTGCGGGCGGCGACTCGGCCCGGACGGATGCCAAATCTGATGACCAGAGCCCCTGATGACATCAGACTTCAGCTCCTATATACAGATCTTCAGGACAGAAGATAATTGCTGACATCCCTGCCGCTGCAGATGGACATCTCCCTCCGTGTATGGGTGAGAGGCCTCCGGCCTGTGGTTGTCATTAACAGTACACACAGATCTTCCACCAATTGTATTAGGCCCCAACGTTGGCTAGCTGAAGAAACTACCACTGGCCAGTCGGTTAGGTACCCGGGTACATTGGGACTAAGTTTTTATATATATATATATATAGTTTGGTTACTGTCCCACAAGTTCACAGTTAGAATAACCGCATTTATCGTTCATCACTGTTATGTTGGTGTCTCATATGCAGTCCCTGTGTTATGCTGTATAGAGATAGATGTTGATGTTTATATACTGCTATTCAGATTATTATATACAGTAAATAGTTATTTAAAATCTCACAAGGTGTGCTGGTGTGCTGTGGATTCATTGTTTGTGGTGTGTCACAGAGGTGAAACAGAAGACCCGATCATCCAGCGGCTCCTTCGGGGGTGAGCGCTACAAGATATTCCATGTTTTTCTAATAAATGTTTGTTTTTCTTTTGAATTAATGTTGCATAGTGGCCATATCTATCTACAGTGTGGTTTAGTGTTTGTAGAGTCTTTAATCAGGGCGGTATTGATCCTCAGCCTTCCCAAGATCCCTTTGTGAGGTCCTGTGACATTAGTGATGGGAAGCTGGAAGCAGAAGGAACCCAGGAGCATTTTAAAAGTGAACTAAAGCCAAACCATTTTTTGGCTTTAGTCCCCTTTTGGTAGTACTTTACTAATGTACTTCTGTGAACCCAAAGTTGGCATCTAGTGGGCTACTGCCGTCTATATGCTGACAGCGCAGAGCCATGCTGCAGCCATAAAACATCTCGACAAAATTATCGGGATCCACCCCGCTGCCTGATTGAGAGTCAGCTGTGCCCACCCTCTCCCCTGTCTGTTCTTCCAATGAGTCTGTCTGTAATTTATGATGATGATGATGATTATTATTATTATTGTTATTACACTACATTCAGAGTTTACCAGTGCAATTTCAGATAATCTCGAAATTTGGAAATTCTACATGCCGCTGAAGTTCCATAAGCCAGCAAATCCAGGCAGACCGGTTTCAGAAGATATGAATGCACTCACCGAACAAAACTCAGGCCTTGAAGAAAATGTGCTACAGCTGTTGGTCAGAAATAGGGTTATTTTCATGCAGGAAACTACAGATTTCCTGAACAGGCTGCACAATGCATAGCAATTACCACCAAATACAGTGCAAGTGACTGTGTGAAAATAGAAAAATATAATGGAAAGAACTCAATTGTTTTGTTGAATAACACTAACATTGTTCAAGAGATTCCCTTTCCACATTAACTTTTCCCTGCCTTAACCCTTTTGTGGTGTACAGTAACTAGAGCAACCACTTGATAGTCCAATAAAGCAGCACTGTGCTGTCAGCAGAGCTTATCTGTAGCCTGCTGGAACAAGTTGGCTAGTAACTGCTACAACATTTGAGGAGGGGTGAAAAAACTCAACAAACAGGTAACTGGATGGGGGTAGGGCGAAGTTGGACTGCAAGATCACTGAGCTAGGCAGTTAAGAGAGAGTGTGAGCTGAGGTATGAGGAAGACTGCTTCTCGATAACAGGAAAGATCATGTGGATACACAGTGATCTGTAATTTTAACAGATCATCTTGCATATAAGGCTTAGCACAAACAATCAGAAGGCAGAAACTGAAGCAGTTTTGGGAAGTGTGCTGTTTATCTTCCAGCAATGCTCAATCCAGAGGTAAGAAGAGGAGTGAGGTCCTTTGGCCAACTGAAAAGCAGAGTGGAAGAGCTGAAGAACCCTTGGAGACAAAGTTCCCCTTTAGTTCTAAATTACAATGAATCTGCCCGATTGGCAACAGATGCCCTGGTGGAACAAGGAGAAAAAGCATACCTCCAAACACTCACAGAGGAGAAAGAATTGCCATTTCTCTCAAGTTTAGATATAGAATATATATGCAGTAGTATGAATGTTAACAACAAATCCCAAGACATGCTGTTGGACAAGGATGGCGATGGTGTCTCTGACAACTGTCCTTCAGAGCTGACATCTGGCACCTACTTTCCCATAATGTCTGACATCGATTTGCCAGTTTTGGAGCTTGGCTGGCCTGAAATCCCTCTGCTCACCCGCAGTAAAGGGACAGAAGTACAAGTTATCTTCCAAAAGCACAGGAACAACAACATCAAAGATCTGATAAGATCGCTCATTAACAAAGCAAAATTGGTAAGTTTATCAACTTAGTAATGAAATAGCATTCATAAAAGAACAAATATCTAATACACATTACGGCATTCTGCATATTTCATACACATCTATATGTAAATCAGGAGCGGCACAAGCCCCTGGCGCCCGATGCATGTACCCTGTGTTTTCTGCTTATTGCCCTGATCTCCTTTGCAGTAATTCCTGCCTTTACCCCAAGAATGGTCCTCTTGACAAAAGTCTTTTCTGAATTTTGGTATCACACTTATTTTTTTATTTAATTTATACATCAGGCTTGTCGTCATATTTATTAAATTACAATTAGGACTCTTTAATTTTTCTTTACAGTGAAATGTATTATATTTGACACAGATGAGATTATGTTTTTTATACCAATGAATGTCATTAGCAAGCATTGGCATACTCCTGTGTGGCTCATTGTATTTAATGGCCCTCGTTCACATCTGAGCGTTCTGTCGCCAAACTCCTGTCGCTGAAAAAAGTACATTTAGCGTTTTTGGCCCCATTAACTTCCGTGGGAATGTCTGTAAACACGTCACACAGGTGATTTTTAGCGTATTTGTTGCACGTTTGCCACAAAAGAAGCAACCCTCCTCCTCTTTCTAAACACACTTGAAGCTGAATACACCTGAAAAAACACATTAAATACGCTTAGAAAATTTAGTGTAAAACACCTAATAATGGGTCCATACAGTAGGAAAAGGAAGATAGAACAAAGGGAGGGAATGCAGAAAAAAAGAAGGGAAGACATGGGAAGAATTAAAAGGCTCACCTACTATTAGCATGGTATGCTACAAGTCTCCAAACATCTCAGTCTAAGTGTCCTATAGAAACCTAGCAACATCCATGTCAAATGTTAAAATAGAGAGTGTGTTAATCTTTTCTCCTCTAGACCAGCCTTTCTCAACCAGGGTGCCATGGTACCTTCTGATTTTCTCAGGGGTGCCTTGAAATTTTGTGATGGTGAGACTCTGATGTGAAGGGAGAACTCTGATGTGAAAGGGGGTTTTGATATAAAGGGGAACAAATGGCGATTGCACTCATCAATCCATAACTAGCTTAAAAGCAAGGTGCACGTGGATGGGCTTTACACAGTACAAAAGCAAAAATTTCCCAGCACACTCACCAGCCAGCCTGCAAAAAAAATCACACTGTCTAACTATTAGAGTTAAAAACAGAGGTTTTAGATGCACGACTTTAGCAAAATATGTGATCCGAACTCTAATCTATGAGAGCCTACATCTTGGAGCATATATAGCAAAGGTGCAGGTTTGCCAGGAGGTAGTCCATAGGGATACACCAGAAGCCCCAGACATCACAAGGACATCACAATGGGGGCTTCAACTCTTCTATTCTCCATAACATGGAGGGAGTGTTTTGCAGTCTACAGGTAGAACTGGGAACAATGTAACTGATAACAGTCAAAACAGTCAGAGAGCACGGAAAGTTTCTGACAGCATTGATGGGTATTTTTTTTATGTTTCGAACAGATATGACAAAACACTTCTAATCGTACTGAGTTGAATGTGCAATATGTAAAGCACTGCGTAAATTGTAAGCAGTACAGTATATAAATATCTGTAATAAATAAATAAATAAGCAGTATGTGTAAAACAACAAAACGAAGCAAATAAGAGAAATGCGTTGTCAGGGTACACATTTACCAGTCATTAAAGCAGTATGGGGGTTGACATTGCTGGCCTATTTATGAAATTGCTAAGTGTATGGCTGTGTAAGGCTTCAATACTTTCTGATTTATTGATCTGGATCACACAAGCTATAAATAAGTGTGAGAAAAGTTTCCGCTTTACTTCTCTCTGTACTCATCCTAGTCCCATACACCTGCACGTTGAACAAAAGAAATCTAACAGATTCCTCCATCCACTCTGTTTAAAATACAATGCAGCGCTATTGTATTCTGACAACTAATTTACTGCAGTCACTGTTCGCTGGACAATTTTCCACCCTAGACCTTCCACAAAAAGGCAACTGAATAATTGACTTTTGTCATGCCAGATGGTGCCAGCGGGGCCACACAGGCCGAACTTCGAGCACTGTATGGCTAGTTTTAGAAAGTGTTGAAGTCAGACCATTAGCATGACAGCCAAAGAAGTAATATTCTCTAAGGCCCGGTTCACACCTGGGCGTGTTGTAGCGCTTTCCTACGCTCTGCAAAACGCTCAAACACTGAAATCCCATTATTTCCTATAGGTATGGTTCACACCTGGGCGTATTACAGGCCGTATGAACGCGCTACAAAACGTCCTACGCCCAAAGAAGTACAGGAGCTACTTTGGGGCATTTTTGTCGTGCATTTCCATTGGAATACAGCCAAATAGCCTTTTTACCGCAAATCGCGCGACATGAAACGTGCGACACGAAACACGCTACAAACGCGCATATTCGATACGCCTAGGTGTGAACCCAGCCTAAAAGAGAGGAAAGCAATGGCAGCCGCCACAATTCTCTATTGAAATGAGAACTAGAAGGCTTAGCAATCCAGAATAGACCACCAACCATTTATTCAGCATTCAAGCCAAGCTTCTGGTTTGCCTGGAGACTGTATAAAATGGCAGATACTGTCCTTATATAAACACATTTTTCATCCATCCATACATACTATTCTTTCTATAGAGATATTGAGCAAATGTGAAAGTTGTTTGCTTCACAACATATATGACCGGTCCGATATAAAGAAATAATTGGAGAAGGTGCAGTGACTCCCTGAAAGTACAGCTGTCATGTGAGAAATATGGAGGCTGCCATTTATAGCCTCTGTACTGTGGGTGTTGGTTATGTGTTTAGATGAAGCACGGAGATCTTGAGGAATGCTGAATTAAGTTTTACTTGCTTATAAGTACATTACATGTATGCATACAGCATTGTGCGTGAAACATAACAGATAAAGCTTACTGTATACCATAGATGCACTAGAGACTAGCATTGTGGTATACTGCCATCTACAGCTCAAGATAATATTACATCTCTGAATGTCAATAATACAAATCAGTGTATGAAGTTGTATTTCCAACAGTAGGAAGGTTTAGAACCTCTGTGAGATTTTAATTAGTGTATTTGACTTCCTCTCTGGGTGACTCCCACTCTCTTTATTTCTTTTCCTGGTGTCACAGAGTAAAAAGAAGTGTGAGAAAATCTCCCCAAAGGAGTGACATACAGTAAGAAAACACAGAAGGAGTTCAAACTCTTTCTTACTCAATTCAAAATCAAAATAAAGTTTGGCTGGAGTTGGACTTTAATCTCCCCATATACAGTCACAAACCACTGAAGTATACAGTATCAACAATTGCACAGAATCATACAAAATCTGAGCATGTATAGGACATGAACAGTCACCTTGTGGAACCTCAGCAGATCATGCAAGCGTCCAGGGGCATCCCTAGCATTTTCTCCACATT